TCTCCAGAGCATGCTGCGTCTCCCCCTTCCTCTGGCATGCTACCTCATGCCTTTTGACTCCATTCGGTGTGAACGGCTTACTACAGTACTTGCAGGGAACTGATTCGGCCGGAGAGGCAGGTTTGGGGCCACGACGACGGCCACCCATAATATGTACAAGTAACTGAAGAGGGAAACACTGATGAGTAAATCTGGGACGCCATAATAGTGAGAATAGGACACAATGATCAGATTTCGACTTACAGAAGGGTATGTACGCGCTATATGCAGCAGAAGGTGAGGGCAGAGGACGGACGGTGTTGAGACGTTATCACGATGGTCTCGAGATCCCTCGTCGCCGCATTAGGATGATCTCGATTTGATCAAGATAGCATTATCTTATCTAAACGGTCTCGAGATCCGGACTTTAGACGCTTCCAAGATCTCTGTATTGAGATACCAATCTGGTTTTTCCGACATGGCCCGGAGCAAGTGTCGTCCTTCGTCCTCTTCGGAGAGAGCGGCCCGTCCTGCGGCGAGCATTGGACATTATAAGATCGTCCCCGATATCTCTTCCTTCAACCTCGATCTGCGATAGTGCCAGCACGAACACAAGCTAACACATCTATCGATATGGCTCGCGTCTTGATCTGCGGTATGCCACTCCCCTATTCGAGCGAACCGATGACATTGAAGAGGTGTTGTAGGCGACCTCGCCTGGGCGCACAAGGAATGCGAAGACCTGTTTCGTGGTCTCGCTGATGTCGTCGTAAGTTCGCGATCCCGAGCAGCTGGCTCTCAAGTTCATCAGTTGCATACACCCTTCAGCGCATGGACTCGCCAAACCGCGAAGAGTTCTTTGCTGGGCTCCAACCAGGGGAAAAGTACGACGGAATCGTTGGAATCTATCGGCATAACATCTCCGCAGATCATATCGGCATCTTCGACGAGCAGCTGGTTGCAAAGCTGCCTCAGAGCGTCAAATGGATCGCTCACAATGGTGCAGGATACGACCAGATCGATGTGCATGCCTGTAAGGAGCGCGGTAAGCCTTTGACTCCACTGTACCGTTCTCTTCCTCGGTCTCATTCTTTCACGTGAGAAACAGGTATCATTGTCTCCAATACTCCGGGGGCAGTCGATGATGCGACAGCGACGACTGCGCTCTACCTCATGATATCCGCCCTTCGACTCTTTGCGCATGCTGAACAGGACCTGCGTGCTGGCAAATGGAAGTCCTCGCATCGTTCCGGCGCAGCACACGACGTTACAGGACGCACGCTTGCCATTCTCGGCATGGGAGGCATCGGGTTCAGGCTAGCCGAGCTCGCTCATGCGTTCCCCATGCGCATCATCTACCATAACCGCAGGAAGGTCGCGGATGCACCTGAGTGGTGCGAGTACTACGGTCCGGATAGGCTGGATGAGTTCCTTGCGGAGGCGGACGTTCTGAGCGTTCATATTCCACTGCGCGCGGATACAGAAGGGTACGTTGGCGAGACAGTAATCAGGAAGCTGAAGAAGGGCACGGTCCTCGTGAACACGGCGCGCGGCAAGGTCATTGACGAGGCAGCGCTCATCCGTGCACTCGAGGACGGTCACGTATGTCCTTCATTGCCCTTATGCATGCTCAAAGACCGTTGATACGTATGCTGTGTAGCTTGGCGCAGTCGGACTGGACGTCTACCCGAATGAGCCTGAGGTCAACCTGCGCTTGCTCGAGTTCCCGAATGCGACGTTGCTGCCGCATATGGGTACCGAGACCTGCGACTCGCAGAAAAAGATGGAGATCCGCGCCCTGACCAACCTGCGTGACTACTTGACAGTCGGCAAGGGGTCGGACATCATCCCGGAACACGTTCAGTAAGATTTCACTTCAGTCATCTTGGGGGTCAGCCGCTCACCTTGGTACGTCCCAGATAGATTAGCAATCCCCGCGCTCCCCTTCAGCAGATTATAGAGCGACTGACTGTAACGTTGCGTTGTGAGATGTACTGTATGCTCGAATGCCAGTTCTTTCGTATGAAATCGTGTATTCATGGTTCAAGAGAGTTGCGGCGGTATGATTAACCGAAGCTAGGACATGAGGTTGACGGCATGTCCTGATTTCTAAATAGCAGGTGTTACTACGCCAATCCACAGCTATGAACCTGGGTTGCTGCGCCAACACGACAGCAGCCAGCTGATTGGCCCCGAGATGGGGACTCAAGCTCTATCCCATCTTCCCCCGGTACCCGTCTACCCAGCGAACCTCTATCAAGCTTATCGCACGATCAAAATAGGACCTAGCTCTCTATTCGATCTACAACTCACACGGAAGGACGATCCCCGATTAAGAATAGCTTCATGCTGTCCGCGCTGACATTTGTATAGATGGTCTCCGAGTCGATGAGGAAAGGACGCGGAAGAACTCACAAACTTCACACTAGGCGAAGGGCGGTCAAACACCGCACGCCACTGTTGTCCTGCCCTTCGGCTTGGGACCACGATCATGCAAGGAGTGTCCGCAACGAAAATTCAGACAGACGATGAGATGCTGATGATGTTATAATGGGTACAGCTAGAGTACAACAGGTCGGTTGTTAACATATCAATAAAGATAGATGGGGTTGTCGAGTATGAATGAGTACAGGAGTGAGAAGGCGCTTGCTGGCATGATGACGGTGGCAGGAGGGAAGATGCCACCCTTCAGGAGCCGCGGCGCACATAGGGCCTCTCTGGGTCGTGACGCCGCTGCGCGACCGCGAACTTCGGCAGACCGTGCAACTGCAAACTTCTGTCCTCTGGGATTCTTGCGTTCCGGGCAGGCGTGGTGCGGCAGCCGTCGTCGCATCTTTACTTGCGTCCGACGGCTTTGGACGCCCTCGCACGTTTACGAGGCCGAGGCTGCGACGAGTCCGGCTCTGCCTCAGACGCCTTGCGTTTCCCTCCCGTCTCATGCTCGGAGACGCCACTTGGAGCACTTACTACTCAGTAAGAGCCGACGACATGGATGTGATAAAGCTACTCACCTCTCACCACTGTTCCTTACATGATCGCGCAGCCCCGATAGTGTCTGCGCCGCCTCCAGATGTAATATGAGCGCGAGAAAATGTTTCCGCCGTGGGGACTCGTCAACACTAGGGTTTTCCGCGTCATTGGAGGTGTCCCTTCTCTGCGTTGCTTGACGTCGCTTTAACGCAGTATCGTTTTTGGGGATCACAGGTTTTTTGTGGCGTGTAGAGCGCCGCAGCCCGGCTGCAAGTGATAGCGCTCGTATGAGGGCCGAGGGAGTATGACCATGTGGTTGTTGCACACTCACCGATCGCCTTCTGAGGGAAATCCTCGTTATCTGTCTGGTTTTTGACGTCGACGAGGACCTGTCGTTTGTCCGGAGTTCCAATGCGACCGCTACTGGAAAGGCAGCAGCAATCCCTAAGTATTGGTGCTCGGCGCGACTCTATCCGAGAACCACAACTCTGCATCGTGAACGTTCGTACCTTGTGGTCGCTTCCAAGGAGAGAAGTCTTTCTATAATCTCATGGTTTGTACCAACGGCGCGCACCCCATTCTCCTATACAACGTCGACCAGACCTAGGGTCAGACGAGGTACGACCGACTTAACCACGTGAAACTCACTTTGGCGAGCTTTTGGAGCTCAGCGCGCTTCACAGTCCGGAGTGCTGTCTTGTCTAATGCGGTGGTGGCCATGATGTATAGGGGCTTTGGGTTACTGAAGGGGGAGAATGGAGGGGCAAGCGGTGCGTGGTTGTAATGGAGGAAAGGTGAGCGTGGTTGGATCCGGAAGCGCCCTTTTATGGGAAGCAACATAGCCCGCGTTTCGCTTAATGGCGGAGGACATAAACAAAGGCTTTGTCTTCATCTCGTGACCTGTTTGCTGAGACAATCGAAGCGAACTTCGTGCTTACACGGCGGGCAAAGCGCCATACTTTCAGCAGGGATATTTGTGCGGCACTTACGTGCGACGCAACGTCACCCTAACATTTCCACTTGTCCTTTGTATCGTGCTTTGTAAACTTGGAAATCGTATTGGCACGTTGCGTTGCCCGGATATTCAGCATGGATTTCCTCACCTGGACCACCGCGCTTTGCCCGCCGTGTGAGTCTTTGGTACGAGCTACCAAGTTGCAGCAGCCGGTTGCCAAGATACTGTGACCATTAGGAACAGGTAGGGCTCCGATGGAACGCCAACGACAAGTACCTAGTAGTGAATGTGACATTTGAGTCGGCCTGTTTGAACTTGATTCCATAGAGCAGAGGGGGTATGACGACATAAGTGTCAACATGCTTATGGTGGGACCTGTGTCGCTCGTTCCACTTGCTCGCCATACTGCCGCCAAAAATCCGACAATTCCAATTCGTAGTATTGAGACATGCTGATGGTGGTTGCGCAGGTCGCTTGACCATGGAAGCGTGCGGAAAATCAACCAGTCAGATCCATCCTCCGTGAAAGTGGAGAATTTGAACCTAAGAGGAGGTAGTAGCCGTCGAGATCGGCCCTCAAAGACAAGTTGGTGACCGCACCGGCGCCCGTGGTGCCACTCAGAGGGGACGTACATCACCGATTGTTCATTTCAGGCCGTAGAACATATGAATATCGGGAGTTTCTACCGCTGATGGCTGACTGTCGTCAGGCGGCCAGCTGGGTACGTGGCGGCAGAATGCACGAGTCGGTGACGCATCTAGCGCTCGCGGCCAGAATCCGTGCATCTAGTACCCAATATGGAATGCCACGATGGCGCTCTCACAGCACAGCCACGTGCCAGCCATTACTTAGATTGTTCGATAGCAACCCAATGGCAAGACGTCCTTGCATTCGGGATCGCCATGCGGAGGACATGTAGGAGTTTGTCTTTGCTTATGGGACTGGACTAGGTTTATTAGGATCCCAGGAGTTGTCAACGAATAAAACCGCTTTCATCTCAGTCGCTCCGGAGCGCCCCTTCAGCGCCTATCAATCCCAACTTGCTTTCCTCAACCCCCACCACCACCCAATTGTGCCCCCGCTGGGCCCCAGCCGTTGCGCTTTGCTAACAGTCATGTACCGTTTTGCGTGCTCTGTGATTTATACCGAGAAATCACTCCGACCCACTAGAAGTCAAGCCGGTATGTCGTCGTTTCTCCCCGTTCAATCTCTCCCCTCCTCTCCAGAAGTGCAGAAAGCACTGGGTTCGAGACCATCCCCGGGAATTAGCCTTCCCATTGATCTCTAGGGGGTTTTAGTGGGTATGGCCGGTTGGCTCACGCCGGAGGAGTCCCACACTATTTCCAGAGCACGGCTGCACCCGAGGCTCTGGGAATGTGCGTAAGCGCATCTCCTCCTTGGGTTGGTGCCCAAACCGCGGGGTTTCAAATACCTGCAAACGGAGAAGTTCGGGGTGGTCGCACCTTGGGCAACTTTGCACGGCGCGCCGAATCGCTCCTCACAACATGCCCTCTTGGGACCACTGAGAACGACGGCACGAAGCACCCCACCAAAAAAATCTTTCCCCTCCTCCCCTCTACTCACATACTCATCTTGTACGATTCCTGCCTACTTTCTTGACATTATACACACTTCATTGCATTTTATGGCTCCTTCCCGCTTCTTCACCGCCTCAATCTATCCCGTCCACCATGCCTTCCCAGGTTAAATTTTCCGAGGGTAGGAAAACATCCGATTCTCCCAATAGAGCGTTCAGAGAGAAGACAAGATCATCCTCATTCCACATGCCGACTTTTTAGACCGCTTCCCCCATTTGATAGAGACACCCACATCGACAGGCGAGTCGAAAGTCTTCGAAATGGTATCGGAGTAGTCTCGTGACCAGACGTTCGGAGTGTGAAGCGGATACGAAAAATCGGAGGTATCCGGACACTCGAACGTCTGGTGGCATCACCCCCGTTACTCCCCCATCGGTGACATGCGTCACATCCCGACGCCCAGTCGGGGCAGTCCGAAAAAGTCGGAGTGCGCCCTTGGTGCCCGATGTGGCAGCCCGCTGTCAATGTTCACCCTGTGCTACACCTCCTGTATTAGCCACAATGCCCCCATAATCCATCATACCTGGCTGCTCTTAAATACACTACATGGCTATCTCAACTCCTCAGTTCCTCTCCCATCATGAAGAAGACCACGCCCACTCGTATGCAATCCTGCAAGCCGCGCGACAAGCCGCAAAAGCCTCACGGCGGTACGACTCGCATGCGACCCGCCAGGCGCTCGAAAACACCTTTCGCGACAGAATGGGAGGGAAGGCGCCACATGAGTGGCAGG